CCGCCCCTCGAGGCAGGGGCGGTTCAAGCCAAGCTGGGCACAGCTGGATGCATGGGACCGCACCGCCACAGGGGCTGGAGGTGGGAAAAAGCCCAGATCAACAAAGGAGAAACTAGCCAGGATCCAAAAGGGTTTTGGTCTTGTGAGACAGCGTGCTGCCTGGATTCCCCACTGTCTGCTGTCGGGCTGTGTGCTCGCAGCACCCCTGCCGCCGCAGAGACACCGGCTCAGAGCACAGGTCCTGCAGGAACAGCCTCTCCCGGAGATCGAGATCCCTTTTCCTCTGCTGAGCGAGGCTGGAGGTGGCCAGTAGCTCATGAAGGGAGGGGAAGGACCAGCTGCGGAAAGCCTGTTTCCTTCAAAAACAGCTGCTCTGCACGTCCTCTCCGCACCGTCCTCACCGGGGCCCAGAGCCTGAGGGAGAAGCAGGGTGAAGCAGGCTGTACCCCCAAACCAGGACTGTTCCTGGGCTCTCCAAGAGCAGCTCTGGGGATAACCTTTTTTTTCACACCAAAAGGCCTCCCTGGGGCCAGAGGGATGAGCGGAGGGAGCAGAGGCGCTTCGCTGCGATATGGCACTGGATGAAACCCTGCAGCTACGTGGTACCTTGGCCACCAGCAGCTGCTCCCAGCGAAGGGAACATCGCAAAGCCGGGGGAGCTGGAAGCAGCGCTGACTCCTCGCAGGAGCAGCCCAGCCCCAGCTCGTTGCAATCCCCTCCAAAGACAGGGCACGCAAGCAGAAACCACACCAAAACACGGCATGAGGGACGCGAGCCGCCCCCCCTGCCTGTCTGTCTCACCCCCCTCGGACTTCGGGGCAGGGATTTGACCAGCCCGCGCAGACTGAGCTTGGCGAAACAGGCTCAGGTCTCGGCCAGCCCGAGCAGCGCCCCGAGAGCCCGATCACAGTGTTTGACTCGCAGACACTCCCTGCGCAGCACCTCGGCTTTGAGGCCACCGCGAGCGAGGAAGCCTGAGTCAATGCAAACCAGCACAGCAAGAAAGGGGAGCAAGAAGAGGCTGCGTGACGAAAATGGCAGCGCAGCTGGTCCCCAGCCCTCCCTCTCTCCCTCGACTCACAGGGTGCACAGGGAAGGGGAAACTTTTCTGAGCGGTGGGAGAGACCAAGGTGGATGTCAAGAGGATGGGGTCAGACTCATTTCAGTGGTGCCCAGCAATAGGACAAGGGCCAACGGGCACAAACTGAAGCAGAGGAAGTTCCAGCTGAACACGAGGAAGAACTTCTTCCCTCTGAGGGTGACGGAGCCCTGGCCCAGGCTGCCCAGGGAGGCTGTGGAGTCTCCTTCTCTGGAGATATTCCAGACCCGCCTGGATGTGTTGACCTGGGTGACCCACAGAGGTCCCTTCCAGCCCCGACCATTCTGTGATTCTGTGAAGAGGCTGCGCGATGAAAATGGCAGCGCAGCTGGTCCCCAGCCCTCCCTCTCTCCCTCGACTCACAGGGTGCACAGGGAAGGGGAAGCTTTTCTGGGTGGTGGGAGAGAGACCAGGTCTAAACTTGCTCTCCATGAAGGGTTTCCACTGGGACCAGCGGCACAGAGCTTCTACCCAAGCAGGGCGGACGGCTTTGGGCAGCAGAGGAGGCTGAGCCGCACTGCCCGACGCCAGTCCCCAGGCTGGGCAGCTCATCAGCCCCGGGGGAAGAAGCAGCGAGCCCGGCCCCAGCCCCGAGCTGGGGAAGGGACACGGCAGGCATCCAGGAGGACACAGGCACCCTGCTCCAGCCTGTCCTTCACTGGTTCCCCCCTCCCAGGGCCCGGCAAGGGGATGCTGCAGCGCTGGCAGGACCCGTCCCTCCAGCCTGAGGCTCTCTCCCTGTCCCCTCTGTTCCGGGCCCAGACTACAATCCACCATTGTGTGCGCGGGACCGGAGCAGGGCAGGGGCCTGGTGAGGGCTGGTTGCTGCGTGCGGGCCGATTTCCACGCTCACCAGCCTTTGGAGGCAGGCCC